ACAGAAGAACAAAGAATGACTGATCTACCAGCTGATTGTGTAAACCCATCACCACCATTTCTTTATAGCGGAATGGATTGCTTCGGCCCACTTATCACCAAACAAAACCGCAAGGAGTACAAGAGATACGGACTGATATTTACGTGTCTAAGCTCCAGAGCAATTCACCTGGAAATGTTGGAAGATATGTCAACCGACGTGTTTATCAACGCCTTAAGATGTTTCATAGCCATTAGAGGTACTGTCAGAGAACTTAGATCTGACCAAGGATCTAATTTTGTTGGAGCAAAGAATGACTTGAACAAGGCTCTAAAAGAGATTGATAAAGAAAAAGTAACTGAGTGCTTGTTAGAGAAACAGTGTGATTTTCACATGAATGCTCCAAATGCAAGCCATACAGGCGGAGTCTGGGAGAGGCAAATCAGAACTGTAAGAAATGTACTAAGTTCAGTGTTGAAAAAGAACGCTGGAAGATTAGATGATGCTTCACTTAGGACACTATTCTATGAAGTAATGTCTATTGTTACCACTTACAGTTAACAACATCAACGACCCAACAAGCTTGGAACATCTAACTCCCAACCATCTACTTCACCTTAAGGCTGATTACATACAGCCACCGCCTGGCAACTTCACCAAAGAAGATTTATACGCAAGGAAAAGATGGTGAAGAGTTCAATATCTATCAGAGCAGTTTTGGAATAGATGGAGCAAGGAGTACGTAGCTCATCTCATACTAAGAAGTAAATGGCAAACGCCTAGTAGAAATGTTCATGTTGATGACATAGTGTTAGTAAAGGAAGACGACTTACCTAGAAGTCATTGGAAATTGGCCAAAGTCCTAGAAGCTCGAAAGGACGAAGGAGGACTAGTAAGAAGAGTATTGTTACAAATGGGAGACTCAAAACTTGACAAAAAGGGAAAACGTCTCACAACTCCACTCAAGTTGGAACGTCCAATACAAAAGTTAGTTGTTCTGCTTGAGAGTAACAAAGACACTTGAGAGTTGAGAAACTGATGGAAAATTCCTCAAATTCATGTTCAAATCCTATTACTGAGAACACAGAATTATAGGTAATTTGGTGGGAGTGTAGCTGGCTAGCTAAGACCAGTCCTAGGTTGCTAATATGGTTCACATATATGTGTATACCAAACCTGCCAATAACCTCAGTACAGTGTATATGTGCATATGTTAAAGTCAAAAGCAGAATCATTGCTGTAATTTATGTCTCTGAATGTTATATAACATTTATATATTCATTGTGTTAGATGCAGAAAAGAAAATATACCTTTAAGAGTCAGCACATAGGTAAGCCAATCACAGCCAGCCTCACACTGCACAGAGCCTTAACCAATCCCAGCCAGTTTCACATTTGTGCCTGTGCAAAACCCCCTGCTAGATCTTTCTAGAGCCACTTGCTCACCAGACAGAAGAGGAAACAGACAGAGTTCCAGTCAGAGATAAGTTCTATGGAAGCAGAAAAGGCCACATAGTTCCAACGAAATAAGCCATTGTAAGGTAAACCGAAACAAGTCATTGTGGAGTAATACAAATGAAATACGTAAAGAATCACAATATGCAACCGTAATCCATAATCCACAATACGTCTACCGTTTTATGTTATCTGACAAGATTGAACTGTTGAATCTCTTTGTTTCTTGGTGATTTTCATTCACCACGCATTTGTACATGAACTGTCCACTGCACAAGCAGCAGTGTTATATGAAGAAGATTGAAGTTATTAAAGAAGTTAACTACAGTATTCGGTGTGCTCTTTAAACCTACTGCATCCAGAGAACGGAATTAGAGGAATTACAGAGTAAAATCAGTCTAATCAAACAAAAGAAACAGCAATTGCATCATTTTTCTAAAGCCACAGCGCACAAGGCACTACATAGTGCTGCGCCTGCCACACCCTTCCTCTGGATCAACTGTGGGTATAGGATCATAACTTTTTTTTTTAAATGGTTGAACTAGATGGACTTTTGTCTTTTTTCAGCCAGACTAACTATGTAACCTAAGACACTAGTAAAAAAAACTGGAGCCTTGCCCAATGGGGAGGAGTTATTCCTAGGAGGAGAGTTCCTGTTTTTTCTGCCAATATCCATTCACCTGAAGATGGCAGCATAACTCTGTCATAATGAGGATGAAAATACTGTATCCTGGGATGTACTATAAATAAATTAGTTAATCAATTGTAAGTTTATCGATTGCTTTAAAAGGAGTACTAAAGTCTGGAAGAGGTTTTACGTACTTTGGGTCCTACTAGGTTGATTTCCATTATGCTGCACTGTACTGTGGCAAGACCTAGATATTTACAACCCCAACTCACCAGACCTTCCCTTTGATGAACAAAATTGGTCAAAATTTGGGCACACCTATAACAAATCAGTTATTACCTTCAAAGATAACATTATTCATCTAAAGATATTCCAGCATAGCTATTTCACTCCAGCCAGATTGCATAGACTTGGCTTACGTCAAACTGCAGACTGCTTCAGAGGCTGTGGGGCAGCTGCTGATGGTGGGGTAACTAACCGGTGCTAGTATGGTGAGCAATGACACAAAGCCAGCATATAGCCAAAATACAAAGATGGCCACAGGATGATGCCACAACTACGGCTCCGCCCACCATATGTGTTATGTCCAGAGGCGAGAACTTCTTCAGTAGCCTACTGAAGAAGTCGGCTTTGTGTCAATGTGCTCCATACTAGCACTTTGTCGTGTAAGTGAGTTTTAATTTAATAGCAGGATTAAATGATCTTTTAAATGGAAAACACTAGGCTCCGTTTTCTGCTTTTATATGTGCATGTACCCTTGCTCCAGTGACTGGATGTGCTCATGTGTGCTGTAAGAGGGAGGACAAGGTGTGAACCCCAGGAGATTTAACCCTTGAAGTGGGCAAGCATTTTCATGATCTGACTGGTAATGCAGGGGTCAAATTTTTGAAGTGAAAGGCCAACATTTAAATCGGTGGTGGAAACACGAACAGCACTTTAAGACTGTATTTGATGCAAGGAGTAACACTTTATGATCACAACAGTGACATAGTATTTTTGGACTTTATTATATGATCGCAATCTTGGACTTTAATATTCATACATGATTTAATGTTTTATTATTGAGAATTTTCATTTAGGGTTGCGTTGCACTATATTGGATTAGGAGTTTGTGAAAAGTGTGGTGAAATCACATTTTGAGTGTTCAGCTAGGAATCTATTTAGTTGCGTACACTTGGTTTGTTTTTGTTCGTTTTGTTGTATGATAAAAACTGGGGGTATATTTGGTTGTGCTGATTGATTTTAAAGTATAACATTTTAGAGTTGGCAGACTCAGCTAGCTGTGCAACTACAACAAACTGGATCAGGTATTGCTGGCACTCTACTGGACTTAGCACAGACAACACCAACAAAACAAGAATACCTAGCCGACCAACAGTTAAGTCCTCATCTGTCTTCAAGGTGGAACGCTACCCGAAACAACTTAATAAAAAAATGTTTTTTTTTTAGCAAGGGACATGCAGTACATGCCACATTATTAATTATGGCACCAAAATTTGTGTGTACTGTAAATTGCCTCAAGCATTGTTCTTGTTTCTTCTTGCTGGAGGCCTGAGCAGCATTAAATATCTTTAGGATGTCAGAAGATTGGCTTCTACAAATTCTTCTACAGTGCCTAACAATACACACACAAATAGTGGTGCACTGAAATGAAATTTTTGGTACCGAAACTGATACGGAAAATTCAGAATGCCGAAAACCTAACCGAAACGTGTGCCTATGTGGGGGTGGGGAGGCTCCAATTTTTTTTTTCTACTTTCATTTATTTTTTTAACTTATGATTCTATTGCGATCACGTAGGGGACCAATAGACCTCTATGTGGTAGCATATGAGTGACAGGTCCTCTTTGTAAAGGGGAGGGGGTGGGGAGAGGAGCAGTGTATACAGTGAGGTAGCAGTGTATACAGAGAGGCTCCCTCCCTGGCTGTCACTATATATGTTGGTGCAGATTTTTAAATCTGGTTTTTGTTTTTTCTTCACTATAGCTCACAGAATTAGCTGTCACTTTCGGAGCTAAAGGAAACTTTGTTTCTTTTATCTTGGGAAATAAACTAAAAGGAAACATTGTTTCTTTTAGCTGGGGGGAAATTGAGCTATAGTGAAGAAAAATGAAAAGCCGGTAATTACATTTAAAAACCGGCACTGACATATAGGGGTTGATTTACTAAAGGCAAATAGACTGTGCACTTGGAAAGTGCAGTTGCGCTCTACAAGTGCAGCTGCTGCAGAGCTTAGTAAATGAGGTAAAACTTCACTTTACAAAGAATACCCAATCACATGCAAGGAAAATAAAAAAAAAAAACAGCATTTTTGCTTGTACATGAATGGATAATGAAAGTCAGCAAAAGCTTCATCTCAAGTGCACAGTCTACTTGCCTTTAGTAAATCCACCACTTAGTGACAAACAGTCACTGTATACACTCCTCCTCTCCTGCATTTCTCCGCCCCCCCCCACATCTGCAGTACATACAGTCCCCTGTATCGGCTAAATTTTTCCTATCGGCAAAATGCCAATAGGGATATTTTCGGCCGATATGTTTCGGTGGCCGAAATTTCGGTGCATCCCTACACACAAACCAAAAAGCTGCTAGCAGGTATAATTTATAGGCACCTTGAGGAGGTATATACCTGCGGCAGCCTGCAATTCTATTAGCATAGTGGAGGAACTGCAGACGGTTACAAGTATATACAGAGGGATGTGGATTCTGGGTGCTTGTAATGTATACCGGTGAGTCAGTAATCGGCAAATTAAAAGCCAATTGCTATGTTTAATTATTCAATTTTATAACACTCACTTATAAGCCTCTCAGCTGACCAATGACTGAAAAAAGAAGGGGCACATACAGTACCAGATGTGCATAGCTGGTTAACCTCAAGTTCTGGACCATGTTAGAATCATCTGGCACAAAGACAGCCTACATTATGTTGCATCATTTACCTCAAGTTCCTTTCTCACTCGCTCTTCCCTTTCATGGCTCAATCCAATCTCACTTTTATGTTGCCTCATGGTATCCATATGTGTATTGTTATGTGAGTTTAATTGATGCAATTTCTGTTGCAGCCCTTGAATGGTCACATTTTGTTCCTAGATCAGAGTACAAAAAAAAAAAAAGAAGAAGACCATAATAAATGTTTTTTTATTTCTTACATTCAAAAACTGCAAAACAAAATGGCTTTAATCTCTTTCTCCAGACAGACCACCAAAATAGACAAATACCTGAATAACAGCTTCAATTTTACTCTTTTCTAGCATTTGCATCTCCAGTTCTTTCCTGTAGTTTTCAATGGCTTGGTTTCGAGTTTCCAAATCCCTTTCAAGAGCTTTCCGTGTATCCTGCCAACTGAACTCTGTGGCCTGGAAATGCCCCTGTAAAGTTTGCATTTTTCTGTGTAGTTCTTCTATTTGTTCTGTATATGGAAAATTAAATAAGAATCGATGTTTGCAATTATGCTCAGAGAACAGTTGTTGCAAATAAATAAGGTCAACAGGAGTCAGTCAGGAGGATAAAAATTTTTTACAAGCAATGGTATGTCTGCAGGTCACCTTTTGAACCATTTTACACCCCAACTCCCCCACAACCACTGTCACAGTTAATATTAGAAACAGCCGCATCCCTCATACAGAAGTGGCAGCCTCACCACCAATATCAGGTGTGACTGAATCCATATTATAAATTACCATGCAGTAGACTGCATGTGCACAGAGCTTTATACATTTTACCATTAAAATGTTCTTGTATTCCAATGGCCTTTGTTTTCTCCTCTTCCAGAGCCATCCTTTCCATAGTACATTGTTTTTTTGCAACTGCCAACTCATATTCTAGACTTTGACGAACTGCCTCTCCTTTCTCAATTTCACAACGAAGCCTAACAACCTTGTTTTCCCATGTTAGCAACTGCAAAGAGTTCAAAGAAAATATAAAAAAAAAATTTAAAAAATCAGCACATACATAATAATTAGTATTATGAAGTTATGCTACATTCAAATTAAAACCAATAAATCACAGGTGCCAAGTCTTCCTTGACATTTGTATACTTGTGATGCCTGCATTTCAGCACTGCTAATACTTTTGAATAGTGATCCACTGATATAGCTGCCACCAAAAATCATCCGTCGAAAACAGGGTTATTGGCGTTTTTGGTGGAAAAAAAGTGCCAAAAATTATAATTTACTTCAATGCAAAAATCGCGTCACATTGACTCCAATGCAAAATTGTGTCCCATTGACTTCAATGCAAAAAACACCTCTATTTAAGTTTTTAATTTTATATATATTTTATTTTCTGCCCAATTTGTGTGTTTTACTTTCAATAATAGTTATTTTATGTTACTGGATTAATTTTTTTAATTCATATTCATTGAAGTTCATGATATTATTTAAAAAGTCAAATAGAAGACAGTCGTATATAAAAAAAATATATATTTTTTTAAAAACTGTCCATTTTGGTTTCAGTCCAGAATTGTAATTTCGGTGCACCACTACTTTTGAAACATTCTTTAGGGGAACAACAAACACAGCGTGTTCTGCAGTGAAATCACCCTAGTGTTGTCGCCCCGTGAACAGTTCTAGATGGAATAAAATAAGCAACAAATTTAAGTCTAAGCCATATAAAAGTCCTCAGCACATCTTGCACCGGTCAACACAAAATTGGACTAAACTGCTTCAACAATTTAGAATAAAAGCAGATTATTTTTGCAAACATTTATGAATACATGTGAAGCCACACTACAATCTCAAGGCAGGAATGGAAAAAAAAAAAAAAAAAAAACACTGAGGGCCAGTTCACACTATATGTGTTTCACCATGCTTTTTTTTCTGCATTCAAAACACACAGAAAGTAGGTTATATGGTTGCCAATGTCATAGTTCCCATTAGCTTGCAGTTCCAGTGTGTTCCAAATGCAGAAAAAAAAAAAAAAAGTAGAGCAGGCTGCATTTTTCCTGCACAGAACTGTACTGGAATGTGGCAAAATACATCAAAAATGCACCACAATACACTGGAACACACCAAAAATGCACGTCACTTTTTAAATTGAAGAAAAGGGAGAGGGGAAAAAATAAACTGGAACGTGTCAAAAACAAGCATGCAGAAACGCATCCGGAATGCATCTGAACTGCGTTTCTGTGAACGGCCCTGAATATTATCATCATTACTAATACTGAACACAGTTACCAAAATGGAATAGGGGACATTTATCAATAAAGTATCAGCCCTTAATGCGCTGCAGTTGCTAATATGTTGTAGAAATGGGACAGTTTTTTTATAATATAAACAAAATAAATATATGACATAATAATAATATTTCATGTAAGAAATGTGTCCTAATTTCTTGCACCATTGTTTTGTTTGATTGCCACACTGCTGCATTACGTAAAAGTGTGTCATGTTTGCTACAGACTGCTGATTTCTTGCAATTTGCCTAAAAAAACAGAACCCAGAAAATCATTTAGGAAGTCATTTTCAATTGTCTCTTTTAAAAAGTGGACACCATCATGTGATAATTATGCAACAGATCGCCCTGTTAATTCTGCCACAATCTGGTACATAACACTTCGGACAAATGTGCGAAAATGGCAGATGACTTCAAATTGGCAGTAGACATTTGCAAAACATGAAGTGGCACTCACAAACATTTAGCCACAAAAGGTAGAATATGAACCCTGACTGTTTTGCACACATTAGCACGGAGCAACATTTGTAAATTGAGTAACTGTGTTTATAAATGTCCCCATGTTTTTGGCAATGGTGGTCCTTTAAGCAGTTAATGTTTGAATGTAAAGTGGAATTCCAGCTTACACCTAACCAACCTTAAAATTGTCCCCTCCTAACACTTATGCTACCTAACCTGTGAAAGAAAGATGCATCTACTTTCCTATGTTCAGGCACTTCGGGTCTGGTCATGTGATCTCCCCCGTTTTAGCCAGCAGCGGCTGAAACAAGAGAAAGCACTCTGACAACAGTTGTAAAGCCTGGAGCAGGGACCTTGGCCATAGGCATCAATCCTCTGTCGGCAGTCCCTCCTGTCCCCTACAGCCATGATGGCTGACATAGGGGAGCCAGATCACATGACTAGACTGGAGTGGTCTGAAAATAAGGCAAGTGTATACATCTTTCTTACACAGATCAGCATAGGTGTTAGGAGGGGGGAGGCAACAGTGTTGAAGCTGAAGCTGAGCTGACCAGTGTGTGAACTTCTGATAATGCTCCTCTGTAAGAACACTATAACACAACATAACCATAATGCTCTCCCAATTTGATTTTAAGAGAAATGCAAGTCACACCACCTCTGAATCACCAGAACTTCATGTGATTCCCTCCTTTAGCAATAGATCACTACATCAGTGATCTATTGTCTGCTGATAACAGCATTGTATAGATCACTATTAATAATTATCTTTAACTTTTTCTCTTTATCCATGCCAGTCAGCAATGGATAAAACCCTACTGTCCGTCCAAGCCCACCATGTAATACACTGGGCAACCTTGAAGTCAGGAAAGGTAATCACACCCAGGTTATAATGTAAAACTCAATCAGAAAGGGGTGCACAATATTTAAGGTTTGGTAACAGCAGGAATCTTGTGATGTTTTGCTCTTAGCAAGACTTGTAATTGTAAAAGTTTTAATTTCTAGAAAGGAACCATTTCAAATACATATCAGAAAATGTTGGTTTGGTTAACCCAACCTTTTTAATCTCTTGAAACGCTTCACACCATGTGCTGGAAAGAAAAAATGTGCCTAAAAAAAATACAGCTTAGATCCAACTTCCTTGAAACCTCTTCTATCACTGTCAACAGTAGCGTATTTTCTATGGCTTCTAAAAAAAAAAAAAAAAAAAAATACAATGGTCCCTAAAAGTAGTCTCACTGCTCATTTAAAGATTTCCATTGAAAACAAATGTAATATAGACACCTGTTTGATGCCATTGGAAAATCATGCATGTGCATATCAACAGCTCAGAAAACTGCTGCATGCAAGATTTTTCTTTTTACAAAAGCACAACACGTAACTGCATATACTGTATGTGAACAGAAACAAGGCGTAGTTTTCATCCGCAGTTTTGTTTTTTTGTTTTTTTTATGTGGTGTGTCCATGTGCTAAAGCTGCTGCTTGTGAATGAAGCTGGGGAGAAATGACAAATATCAGATGTAAATCATTTCAGGTTTTAGTTATATTTATTTTGTTAGCCCATATGCTTAGCTTTGGACAGAGTTAAGGGTTAGAACCTCTTTAGGATACTTTATTTCTATCTGTGTCTGTTAGAGAGATTTCTCCTCAATTCTGTTCCCAGAGGTACAACAGTAAGTCAGTGGAAATCTCTCTAAAGAGAAAGAAACTGACAGCTGTCGCATAAACAGGCGTCTTCGCTAGAAGATTTCCCCTCTTGTCATGTTCCAGTCAACTTTATGTGCCAACTCACATATTTGGGAATTGGATGTGGTTTGAACTGTATCCAATCCGCATGACATGTGAAAAAACATTGCTTCCTATGGTGCCTGTTCACATATGTCCAATGCACTGGTGGTGAGGATTCAGTGCGGTTTGAAAAAGAGTCTTGTACAATTTCTGAGCAGTGCCTTCGGGTTCAAGTGTGGATTAAAGGCTATTGACTTCTATGAGAATCGTTTCTAAGCCACATAAGTGTGAACAGGATAAGATCCTGAGCTAATCCTGTCCTGAACCTGATGTAAACCTGACATGAACAGCTGAACAAATACTGTATCAGTTAGCTGTGAAACCGGAGCTTTAATCTGCACCGCACATGTGTGAGACAGCTCTTACAGTTTGGGATTTTTTCTTATGATCCATCCAAATAACAGTGGTTACCAGGACCAATAGTGAAGTAAAATATCATCCTCGGGGACTAAAACAACAACAAAAATGTGATGATGGATCTAACCACTGCCCACGCTGTCAAAAAAAAAAAAAAAAAAAAGAAGTTTATATATTAAACTTTCAAAATAAAATTGTAATGTATAAGAAATAACTCACCTCTTCATTATGTTTAGACACCAGTGCTATATTTTCATTTTTTAACTTGTTAAGCTGCAAACGGAGTTCCCCAATTTCATCCAAATCAGCCAATTGCTGCATTCCATTATTAGAGGACTCTGACCTAAAAATGAATTGGTAAAGAGCAATACTTGAAGTTCAATTGTCTGCATTATGCAATACACCATGTCCCTCAAAAAGCATATTTCCATAACCATTAAGCTAAAGAAGGTCCTAACTGCTCATTCTACCTTCAATATAGTAGTAATTAGGCATCGTCCACAACAAGCAACCAGGGGGCGGTAAAAACGGGTTGCGGCTTTACTGCCATCTGACCACCCACCTATAACCTAACATATAGCTGAAGGGGGCTGTACATATGCCACAGCCC